GGCCCGTGGCGGGGGAGGCTGCGCTCTCGCGGTTCCCCAGCTGCGTCGGAGCTCAGGTGCCCGGGCCGCACGCGCCGCCTCGTGCCCGGCTTCATGAGCTCGCAGGGCGGGCTCCGGCTCCGCGGCGCTTTGCGCACGCCGCAGCCCGCTGACCCGCGTCTTCCCCCCTTCCCCGCTCGTGCCGCGCAGTGCCCCGGGCTCATGTCGGAGGAGTGCGGGCGGCCTGCAGCCCTGGCGCCCGGGAGGACTCGCAAAAGCGCCGGGGAAGAAGCACTGGTGAGTGGCGCCGGGGCCCGAGGTCCCCGAGCTCCTTCTCCGGGTGCGGCCGGCGGGGTGGGGCGCTCGGCTGTCCTGGTGGAGCGCGTGGCCGCCAGGCTCCGGGAGCCGGCAGGTCAGGCGACCTCTGGGAGCAAGGGCCGGGATGCCCCGGGGGTGGGGTGCCCTGGGGAGGGAGGGCAGGCCTCAGGGAGCCCTGGTGGGGAAGTGGGGCGCTAAGGAGAGGAGGGGTCTGGCCCGGCCAGCGCTCGGCTGTTGCCCCCCCGCAGGTGAATCCCGAGGGAGCCGGGGACGAGGACTCCTGCTCCTCTTCGGCCCCGCTGTCCCCATCGTCCTCGCCCCAGTCCATGGCCTCGGGCTCGGGCTGCCCGGCTGGCAAGTGCGTGTGCAACAGTTGCGGCCTGGAGATCGTGGACAAATACCTTCTGAAGGTAGGGTGAAGCGGGGGAGCCCTGGGGAGTCAGCGCCGAGCCCCCCACCTCAACCAACCGACATTGTGTAGACTGAAAGCAAATTAGTCCAGTCTAGGATGTGGGAACAGTGTGATAAGAAATCCTAGAATCGTCCAGGTTACAAAACTGGGTTATGAGTGACCCTGCGGTGGAAACGCTACGCGGGTTCCCCGGGTGCACGTGGAGGAATCGGTCCCTACTTGCAGGGAAAGGGACCTGGACAAGGGTCACCCTTCTGAAACTGTTACCATCTGCCTGACCTTTGTTTACCAAACCCTAGACGGTTTCTCAAAAATCTTTGCCACTTCCAGACTGTGCCATCCACCCCAAGAACCCCGGTGTTGCCCACTGCTTAGATAAGCAGCCCCAGCTCAGAATGTCTCCTTTAGTGACTAAACACATTGTAAAGTGCCTTGAAAGGTCTTTTTGGGGGGAGGGTTATTGATATGGTCTTACATTTATTAACAGTTACCTGGAAATTTTCCAAAGCAAAAGTTTATAGAAGCATTTAAAAGCCCCCCAGTCTTGCTAGGCACAGAGCTGTTCTGCCAGTGCTTAGGGGGTGGGGAATCCAAGATATATGTAAAGTTACGTGCACGCCTGAGAGAGAGTCTCCCATGAAGTGTTTCACGTGGTGGTTTGAGAGTTGACTGTCTGTCTTAATTTGGTTTACTTTTCTAAAATATTGCGTGGGGATTTTGGAGTTGAAGATCTGGCAGGCTACAGTTACCCACGTCATCGCTTGCAGTATCTTGGTCCCATGTGTCTTAATCTGAATACATCGGTTTTTCAACTTCAATAGCTTTTACAAACCACTATGTAAAATAATGGTTTCTCCTATACCAAATTAGTTGCAAACAAGTCTACTTTCTACTCCCTCCCACCTCGCTTGAGTTTTTCAGAAGGATTAATTATGGAGAGTGGGGCTTCAAAAAGTGAATTACTGGGTTTCTTTAAGGTCATGTCAACATACAAAAGCTTTTTGTCCAAAAAAAAAAAAAAAAAAAAAAAATGGGAATGCGACTCTGTGTAGCCCAAATACAGCACCAGAAAGGGTTTAGGTGAAAAATGTTGCTGGTTGATTTTCAAAGCTGACAAATTAACCTGGCTTTCTCTTTAAATCTACATTCTTAAAACTCCATTTTCAATTTTCCTAAACTGGAGCCCTTTGAATATTGCAAAAGTCATCCGTTGGGTCAAAACTAGCTTTCTAATTTTCAACGAGTTCTCAGTAATCAGCACAACCATTAAGAATGCTTCTGAAATGGACTTAGGAAAACTTTAACCCTCTATAAAAGAGAAGATAGAGAAAAAAGCCACAAAGTCACATTCATCATCTTCTGAAAGTTTCAGGTGTTCATTTGTATAATTCTATACATTCCTTATGTTGTCTTTTTATATAAAATTTTATTACGTAAAATTTTTATCTAAGATAATTAAAGTTTTTCTTTGAAATTAGAGGTCCCCCCACAGAGGTTTTCTGCATCAGCCCTATTCTACCACTTCTTACATACACTAATAAATTAACAGCAAATTTTTATACTATATGATTATTTAGTAACCAAGTCCTCAACACCCCTAACCTGGGTCAAAGTACTGACTCTTCCTTATAATCTAGCATTTGCAGTTATGGAAAAACACCATCTTGTGAGGCAGTCAAATGGAATCAGGGCAGGAAAGGGCAGAGGGACTCGGTGGTCACCTGTAACTATTGAGGGGACAGCTGCCCTATCCTGCTGTCCAGGAGTTGTGTGGTCCTAGCCCTGTGTTGAATCATGTTGGATTAATACTAGTTTAGGGAAAGGTTTCCAGAATACTTCCCAAAATCTTCCCCACCTTACTTTACTCCCTGGCAAAGAGACAATATTAAGGAGCTTTTTTGTTTGTTTTTTCAAAAGAAACTGAGGAAAATTGTCAGGCCAGGCATGGGGTCTGGCTTTTGCAGGCAGAGAGAGAAAGGCCAGGACTCTGTTTTAAAAGCCTTGCTTTAGAAAACAAAACAAAAACCTGGGTACAGTCGAAATAAGGTCCTAAGCACGGGAGTGGAATAGTACAGCAAGTCTGGGCTTTCCTTATTCAATTGGGTAAATCTTACAGAGAAATATGAGGAAAATATATCTTTACTTCCAGGTGGTTTTCACACCATTTTTAATCTGATTGTCTTCTGTTATTTCTTTGTTTCCTACAGTAACTATGTAGTTCTTTCAAAGAAAGACCAAAACTTCAAACTTGTAAAATTTTCATCAGAAATGAAACTTGCAATCTTTGGAAAGAGGCCCATAATAGAAAGCTTTTCCTTCAGTATCGAAGTGCCGTTCACATTTCTTAGCACACTGAAGCATGCTGACCAGTGCTTAGGACACAGCAGTGCCACTGAACAAATGTCTGTTAGGAAATAGTGCCACAAGAGCCAAATCTCACAGCAGTCCGCTTTCCTAACTCAGCCAGGGTGGGGGAGGAGCCCGAGTTTGTGCACCTCTGTTGTTCTGTGTGGAAAGTCTTCCCAAATGTCCTCCTGTCTTCTGAGCAGGAGCACATTTCAGGAGCCACCTTGCAGGCCAGCTCAATCCAACACACCTTCATTTGGTGGCTAAGTGCTGTGGCAGGGCAACAACAGCTTAGTGACAGTAATTTTATTTGATTCTTGAATTGATAGTTCTTGTTTCTACTTAGAAGTCTAGAGTGCTGTGATTTGTTAAACACTGCCGTAGCTTACTACTTGAAGTATAAATAAAAATATTCCTTGGGTGTCTTTTATAATTATCTGTAATCAGATTTTCCCGTAGCCAGATCATTCAGTAGGTTTAGCAGGATGCTGCTTCTTGGCATTATTGTTTTTCTGTAACTATACATGTTAAAAGGGGGGCAGGGAGGGTGGTCGTGGCCTTGAGCTTCACCTTGGCAGTTTCCGGGTTGTAAGGGAAATGGACTGCGTACACTCTCTATTAGGCACTCTATATTAGACTATATTACAAGGATGCTTTTAATTTTCTTTGTTCTTATTAATGGGTGTACAGTTTATAATCATTTGACCAAAAAATAGATTGAGAAAGCCTGGATCTTAACTTCCTTAGCTATCAGGTTTTATGGTGGAAAGAATTTGGAAAAAGAAGAAAACAGAATCTGCATGTATGACTTTAAAGCGAGCAGTTGTCTCTCCATTCATTGGTTTGCTCTTGAGAGAAAGTATGAAAGAAACCTGAATTCTGCCAAGGAATAAAGAAACAGGAAAATGTGGCCTGGGGGAGTGTTTTTCTAGAGGGATGGATACCCAGATGCATGCGTATGTAAATGGTGCTGTTTGGGTGGAAGCATCCAGAACACTGAGTTGGGCTGTTACAGGGCTGGACTGGGGTTCTGGGAGTGGCTGCTGACCCACTTCTCCCCGCAGGTGAACGACCTGTGCTGGCATGTCCGCTGTCTGTCCTGTAGTGTCTGCAGAACCTCCCTGGGAAGGCATACAAGCTGTTACATTAAAGATAAAGACATTTTCTGCAAACTTGATTACTTCAGGTACATTGTAAAGCTTCTCCTTCAGTGTAGACACCTCGAGAAGAATACTAAATGAATTTTTCTTCTTGATCAACATACAAAATGAATTTTGTAACAGACTTTTTTGTGTCCAGTTTGATTTATTCAAGGCCAATTATTTTATAATAGACTTTAAAATATTTTGTTTTGGGTTTTGAGACAGGGGCTTACCCAGGGTGGCCTTGAACTCGTGATCCTCTTGCTTCAGCCTCTCAAATGCAGAGATTAGAGGCTCCAGGCACCATCCTGAGCTTTCAAAGAATTTTTGAGG